AGTTGTTTTTTTTCCTTTTGCGCACAAAAATTATGCTCGTAGCTTCGTAAAATTACGGTTGAACCACTGATGTCACATGGATTATTTTACGGATCTCCTTGCTACGTTTCTGGACTTGGGAACATTTCAGTTGTGTTGCTGTCTATGCAGCTCTCAGATTCCATCAAAAATATCTTAAGTTGTGTTCCGAAGATGAACGAAGGTCTTACGGGTTTGAAGCGACATGAGGGTGAGTAATTAATGACAGAATTTTCATCTTTGGGTGAACTATCCCTTGAAGTTACACTGGCCCCAGATAGTAGCTACTAAGACAGTTTGGCATACTTTTATATTTTATTATTTACTGCAAAGACATTCATGTTTTTAAGAAATATAGTGTAAGCATAAGCACACAAAAAAAGATTAAATTTTAAATGTTAAATCTTTAGACAGATTCCCATTCAGACAATGTATCAATAGTAGTTTTTTTGGTGTTTCTTACACCTGTGAGGATGCATTATTAAAGAGATTCTATTGTTGTCCCTAATTCTGCCTCTGTTTCTTTCCGTCGCAGCTCTTCTCCATAGTGGTGTTTGCTACCATCCTTTCTGAAGGCTACATGAATGAAGAACATGTAGACGTCACTAAATGCATGTTCAATCAGAATGACAGTGCTTGCAGCTATGGAATTGGTATTGGAATTTTAGCTTTCCTGGCCTGTGTTGTCTTTATTGTGCTGGATGCCTACTTCCCACAGATAAGCAATGCCAACGACAGAAAATACATCGTCTTGGGTGATCTTGGTTTCTCTGGTAAGAATTATTATTGTTATTTTTTTAATGATTTTCTGGAATGACGTGGGGTTGAGTAAATGATGACAGAATTTTCACTTTTGGGAGAACAAACCCTTTATGTTTCTCTCCGTTTTTCTATTTTGCGCACAAAAAGTATTCTCGTAGCTTTGTATAATTGCGGATGAACCACTGATGTCACATGGATTATTTTACGGATCTCCTTGCTACGTTTCTGGACTTGGGAACATTTCAGTTGTGTTGCTGTCTATGCAGCTCTCAGATTCCATCAAAAATATCTTAAGTTGTGTTCCGAAGATGAACGAAGGTCTTACGGGTTTGAAGCGACATGAGGGTGAGTAATTAATGACAGAATTTTCATCTTTGGGTGAACTATCCCTTGAAGTTACACTGGCCCCAGATAGTAGCTACTAAGACAGTTTGGCATACTTTTATATTTTATTATTTACTGCAAAGACATTCATGTTTTTAAGAAATATAGTGTAAGCATAAGCACACAAAAAAAGATTAAATTTTAAATGTTAAATCTTTAGACAGATTCCCATTCAGACAATGTATCAATAGTAGTTTTTTTGGTGTTTCTTACACCTGTGAGGATGCATTATTAAAGAGATTCTATTGTTGTCCCTAATTCTGCCTCTGTTTCTTTCCGTCGCAGCTCTTCTCCATAGTGGTGTTTGCTACCATCCTTTCTGAAGGCTACATGAATGAAGAACATGTAGACGTCACTAAATGCATGTTCAATCAGCATGTCAGTGCTTGCAGCTATGGAATTGGTATTGGAATTTTAGCTTTCCTGGCCTGTGTTGTCTTTATTGTGCTGGATGCCTACTTCCCACAGATAAGCAATGCCAACGACAGAAAATACATCGTCTTCGGTGATCTTGGTTTCTCTGGTAAGAATTATTATTGTTATTTTTTTTTATGATTTTCTGGAATGACGTGGGGTTGAGTAAATGATGACAGAATTTTCACTTTTGGGAGAACAAACCCTTTATGTTTCTCTCCGTTTTTCTAATCAGGTGTGTGGACGTTCCTGTGGTTTGTGTGTTTCTGCTTCCTAGCCAATCAGTGGTCTCACACTACTCAAACAGCTGTAATAGCTGATGCAGCTCGAGCTGTGGTGACCTTTTCCTTCTTCTCCACTGCCACCTGGGTGAGCACATCTCACTTTATTAGACTTCCTGTTGCTGTCTGATGGTCTCCTTGTCTATTTGATAAACTGAAACAAGTATCACCCTTTTTCTCAAGGCCATGCTTACTGTGTTTGCATTTCGACGATACCGCCAAGGAATGGACGAGGTTGGCCTAGGCTACAATGATCCAGCCGGCGACCATACTTCCCCATACCCTTCCGCGTATGCTGGTGCTCCAGAGGGTTACCAGCAGTCCCCATTCACCGCCAGTTCTGCGGGACAGGGAGGCTATCAGCCTCCCGCGTACTGAGGGTGAAGGCATTTTAACACTTCTGAGAGGCTCATCTGTGTGAACTGTGTTTCATATGCTCCACTTTTTTCCTTTTCCATAAGAGTTTAAATTGTGTCCAGGGATTTGGTGTGCTTCGCTAGTGTGTATTTTCGTGTTTGGAAAAAGCTATTTATTTTGATTTCGTTTTGATGCAAATTCTAAACCCTAAGTGTAAAAGATCTTTGCACTTCTGCAGAATTATCTTGCTAGTTTTTTTTCTTCTTCTCCAAATTAGTTTCTTTAAAACAGATTCAACACCAACTGCAGTTTTTACATTTGTGAAATAGATGGAATTTGCTTTATTCCATGTCTTGAATGCACAATCACATAATGTATGAAAATCTACAGAACTGACGTGCCTTAACGGTAGAGTCATTTCCATACATAACCGAAATCTAAACAAAATTCCTCATATGCAGATAATAGAAAGTGAACAGACTCTGTGCCAAATACATTACCACAACTGAGTAATTTCTTAAAAGCACTGCTTTGCCATATATCACATTTGTTGAAAAGTATGCACTAAATCTATTGCCAAATGGCTTTATTTACTGCTAACTTCAGTCCTGAGTCTAGAATAGATAACTGTTGAATAGTTAGATTGAGGTTGTGAGATAGGAATTGAAACAAGTAAACTACTGTAAATGTGCTTTAATTTAATTTTTGACAGACAATGGGCTTTGTGTGGATACTACGCCTTATTTTTGTAAACTTTAAGCACCTGAGTATTGAAGTATTAAACAATCATATAATGTAATATTGTTGACGACTTCTAGCAGTTTACCTTTAAAATGCTCTTTTATGTCAGGCCAAATTCACTGCAAGATTTCTACCTCTTACTATTGAAATTGTGCCTTATTTTGAAAGTAATATCTAGGAATTGACATTAGTTCCAAGGAATTTCTATACATGTATTTCTGCATTGACTATTTTAGACCACTTTTACTGTTTTCTTCATTTCCCTCAAATGAATAAAAGAAAAACTAGAATAAATAATCATCTAAGTTGGCCACTAAATTTAAACTTTTTTTCAATATGGTTGTTTTGTTGAAGGTAGAGAAATTTCCTTTACACAGTCCTGTTATAGCACATAATCATTGTGTCTTTCTGTTAATTTACTTTGCAACTGTATTTGTAACAGCAGGTATTGCAACATTCTCGTTTTTGTAAGGAAATGCTGCACAATAAACACTTGATTTTTTCCAATGTGAACTGATATCAAAGTCTTGTTGTATCCCGTTTGAAATCTAAAGATTAGGGGGTAGTTTGGCAAAAATTTTAAATATTAAATTTTATTTTTTATTTTTTACTCACCCTCTGCTCTATGTATGACTCTCTTTCTACTGCAAAACAAACACACACAAAAGATAATTTTGAAAAAAATAAAGAAATAAAAGATAAAGATGTCTCAAGTTTCAAAATTCAAAGAGAGTCAGTGGGGTACAGTGTTCTCAAAATTCTTGTTTGTATGTTCTGCAGAAGAGAGAGTCAGTCATGTTTGTAACACCGTTAGGGTGAATAAATTACAGTTTTTATTTTTGGGTGAACTATTCCTGTCAAAAAAATCTAATCATTGCACAGCCTGGTGTACAACCTCTTAAAGGGTTAGTTCACCCAAAAATGAAAATTAGCCCATATATTACTCACCCTCAAGTCATCCTAGGTGTATATGACTTTCTTCTTTCAGACGAATCCAGTCGGAGTTATATTATAAATTGTCTTTGATCTTTCAAGCTGTTTAATGCCACTCAGCGGGTGTTGCATGCATCAGTCCAAAAGCACTTAATTAAAATGCGCCCATCCATAAAAAAAAAGTGTCTCACACGGCTCCGGGAGGTGAACAAAGGCCTTCTGTAGCGAATCGATGCGTTTTTGTAAGAAAAATATCCATATTCAAAACGTAATAATCACTTTAATGTAGCTTGCGCTCACTGTTGTAAAGGGAAGCAGTTCCGGGCGGATGACGTATGAGGTCAGCTTTGCTCATCTAACTTCGACTGGATTCGTCTGAAAGAAGAAAGTCATATACACCTAGGATGACTTGAGGGTGAGTAATTTATGGGCTAATTTTTATTTTTGGGTGAACTAACCCTTTAACATTGTAGTCTACTTTCTTAATTTAGATGTAATTTTTATTGTAGCCTCTATTTAAAGGTTTGTAACACCGCTGTGTTTAAAGTACTTGTGATTTTTTTTAATCAATAATGTAGGTCACTGGTGCTGATACCTGGATGAATATAATTTCTGTCATGTTCCGTTTCCGTCTGTGTGTTATTGCAAGTCCAGTATATTGTGCTGAGTAGTGGTCAGATAATATCTCAGAGTCTGCAGGATCTTGTGTAACTGTTACAAAAGTACAACGTATTGCATGGCTGTATAATTACTTAAAAACATGTATCTTATGAATTATTGTTTTTTTATGTTAAGCCCAAAGCTTTACATCAAAGACAGAATGAATTAATTTAAGCTAATATGCATATATCACAAACTCAAATTGTTCTAGATAAGTATATTTTACGTTTAGATTATTAGATCAAGGGTTTGCTGGTTTGCATGTAACTATATTATTGTGGGTGCAACAACAACAACAAAAAATCTCCTGAGAAATATATTGCAACCATTGAAATAAATAGCCTATCTATTATAATAGCCATGCTCTTCATAGGTTATGGTCTTGCTTTTCGTAAATTCATAACTATAAATTCATGTAAACAGCCTATAGTGCATTCTGTATACATTTTAAATCAAATTAGTATTAGCGTATACATGATTGAGTATTATGGTAATATGAAACTTTTTATTACACTCCTGTCACCTTTTTTATTAGTAATTTTTTCATTGATTGCATTTTTTATATATATATTATAACCCTGTAACGTGTTTCTTGCATGCTGTAAAATGCAATGTTTTCATTGCTGTCGTAGTTACAAAAAAAAAAAATGTATGCGTAAAATGTACGCGTGTATGAGCGGATAGGTCTGGTTCGCTGGGCACTGAGCACACCCCCGATTGCGGAAGTGGATGGGATGCGCAGAGCTGCCTGAATGGATCCGTGAGGAATGAGAGTTCACAAGCCGCGGTTTGATCATCAACAGCCCGGATTCATTTTGAGCCTTGTCTTCCACCCTACTGTAAGTATAGTACACTTTAGAAATACTTGCAGCTAGAGAACACTGTACTGGGTTCATGCAGAAATTCACTGGCTCTCTAGACATGTCACTGTTAGGTGGGCCAAGCAAATACGACTTTTTGAAATAAAATGTATATTAATTAAAATTAAAGAAATACCTTCGCACACACAAAAAAGTAGTTTAATAGCACATAGTTTGTGTGCGATCTTTTCATAACCGAATATCTAAGATAGTTACAAATGTTGATGTTAATGCAAGAGATGAACTCTTGTGAAATATACTGTATAACCCAAGTTTTTGACCGAACACACGGAGAAGTAGAATTATTTATAATTATAATATCTTTGGGTAACAAATACTAGATTGAATAGGTAGAAAGAAGCGCTGTCCAATTGGTCCAGCGGTAAATGTTTACATCACGTGACTAAAGATTAGTTAGTTCACGAGGCCTAAGGAATTTCTTATTATTGAATCCATAAATAGATAGCTCTTGGTACACATCCTAGTCCTTGTAATTATTTGTGGAATATTCACTGGTCTGTATAGAGATCAATTGGAATATTATACTCTACTGAATAATCCAGGGATTGTTTACATTTATTACAATTAGAACTTTGTTAAAAACGTTTTTTAAAAAATGGTAATAAATCAAACGCATGCCATCTGGTTCAGAATTAATTGACTAAGTTAAATTTGCTCCTTAAATAAACTGATATTTACGGACAAAGGCCAACCTGATAGAGACAGTCACAGTGGTTCAGGGATCAAATAATGGGAAACAAAATGCATTACAAATACATATTTTGCAAATTTGTTGAAGCCATAACTTCTTTGTGATCATCAGAATCAGAAGATGCAAGATCAGTCATTGCCAAAGGTTTACAAATGTCCTAAACTGCTTGTAGTGTATAAAACTTGCCCGTTATTAAACAAGAATTGATGACATTCCTGTGTTATTAAAAGCTGTAATTGTAACTACAGTGTGCCACAAAGTTGCAAATATTTTTTTTAATACAACTCAACTTCTATATTTAGTTTTTTAAGTATTGATTTTATTAATGAGTATTATGAAAGGGGAAGTAGCAACATTTGTAGTTGGCATTTATTGGTGAATATGTTTCACTTAATAAGCTGTACACATTATTTCTATTATTTTAGTATTTTTAATACAAAGAATCCTTACTACTCTAATCATGTGTATTTGATTGCACATCAGAGTAATGTTGTATTTTATTTCAGTAAAATGGGAATGTGAATATTAGAATTGTCTAGTTTTTTTATGGAACAAAGGTTTTCACACAAGTGTACAGTCAAAAGGGCAACAGATGTTTTGCAAAACTGTTAAAGTCTAATGTGATGCATAATAATAATAATATTAAAGGGGTCATATGATGCGATTTCAAGTTTTCCTTTCTCTTTGGAGTGTTACAAGCTGTTCGTGAATAGATAAGATCCCTGAAGTTGGGAAGACTAAAGTCTCAAACCCAAAGAGATATTCTTAAGACTCGTCCACGCCCTCCTAAAACGGCTCGTTCTAACACGCCCCACATGTCTACGTCACGATGTGGAAAGATTTGCATAACGCCCAACGCACTGGATAGCTGGCCAATCAGAGCACACCTCGCTTTTCAGAACGATGAGCTTTGTTAAAATCGACGCGTTTCAGAAAGGCAGGGCATAGAGGAGAAACAATAATGTACAGTATGTGGAAAATAATGTGTTTTTTGAACCTTAAACCGCATAACACCAAATACACAAAATAATGTTATTTTTAGCAACATCATATGACCCCTTTAATAATAATAAGTGCATACTCTTCCTGAATACACATGTACCACTCCTTTTGTTGGCTGGGTTGAATGAACTGTTCAGATTAAGAGAATGTGGAGTGTGGAAATTCATATCACATCAATCAAAATGCAATCAAAGAAATTGGAAGCCATTTCCTCAGTTCCATTGTTGGTGTAGTTGCTGCATTTTGCCTTTGGAGAGTACAGTGAAGTGGCAACATACATTTTAATGTTCATTTTAATTTGCCTTCTTTTATTTGTAGATCATTTGTAGGCAGGCAGGGGCCACTTAAAATTCATCTTAACCTACTTTCAGTATTTTTCATTCAGTCATTTTCACCATGTCATGTATCACTGCAATCTTTAGAAGTAAGCTATAACAATTTCAACTCAAATGAATGTTTCATCATGTTTCATTTATTTGACAAATAATTTTGTATAGTACTGTGATAATAATATAAGCAACAGCGGACACTTGGATAGTTTATTTCGAGACAGGGGTAGCTGCAGGTCAGAATAATGGGCGTGCAAAAGGTGGCGTGCCAAAAGGTGAATGCTACAACAGAAATTAACCCCTAACCCTAACCAATTAGAAAGACCTTTATCCACGCCCCCTACCTTTCGGCAAGCCCTAATCTTTTGCCACGCCCACTGCTCCAGCCCGCAGTTATCTCTACTTGTTTATTTCATACTACGTGAACATGACTGAAATTAATTAATTTTCATTACCTGTATCTCTTTTTTTTTTGTTTTTGTTTTTGGCTCTAATGAATATGTGAAGCTCCAGTCTCTGCATGTATTCTCGCTTTGAGTAATTTCCTATGGCACAATGAATTACTTTTTTCCTTTACTGCTACCCACAGGACAAACTGCGCATTGCACCCAAAATTGTTTGGTGTGATACGATTCCAAATTTATGTCAAGCTGCCTTTCCACTATCTCCGACAAATGACAAGCGATAGAACGGAAGTCATTAATTTCCAATGGAGAGTAGTGCAGGAGCTGCGTGGAGTTCCGATTATATGCGTATGTGGAAATTTCGGATCTGTTTTGAGCTTCGGATCCATTAAAATATTTGAACTTCTGCCAAAGCCACTAGAAGGCAAGCCTGCAACCTTTAGCCAAAAAAGCGTAACGGCTAAAGCTAATGCTTCCGGTTTGCCAGTACGTGGCAAAGGAGACCAGAGGCCGTTTTGTTTGAATGGATGTCAATGGAAGAGAGGCTTCACTACACTGAATAAACAGCTTTTTAGAGGAAGCAGCTTATAATTTAATGAATCGACAGCCTATCAGCTAATCGCCAACGTTTTACACTAAGAAATACTTTTGGATTGAACTATTTTTAGAGTTTACACCGAAAAAATGGCGTTTTATAAGAGAAGTCACTGACTTTTTGCGACAGGTGGGCTACAGCTTACGGCATTTCTCATTCATTCCTATGGTGTCCGTAAACGGCAATTGAGTGTTGCACTACAATGACTGAAATTCAGTGACGTCAAGGCTGTGATGTGATTGGTTATTAAGGCACACATGATCAAGTTGACAGTTACGCTTTCTCCAATAGTAAGTAATACAGACCCTCTCATCTCCCAATAGTAAGACAATCTTTGCTTCTGCGGCTAGACCGTATGCGACCGCCCGACCAGATGTGATGTATTCTAATCAAAACTATGAGCGCAAGAATTCAGAATTACCAATATTTTTACACTTTAACGTTATTCTGTAAACACTATTTCTGTAAAATGGCGTTTAGAATAATTATGGCAGAAATAATTATTTTATAATTATTAAATCATTATGTACGTTGATTAGCCCCATAAACCTACTATGTTTTTATTTTGGGGGTCATTTGTTTTGTGTGGATATATTCATACATTAATTTTACCATGGTGAATAAGCCTAGGGTAATGGTTGCTTCACGACCAGTTTGAAAGTTCTGTGCGACTGCCACAAGGGGGAGAAATGCGAAAATCGTATCCAAATGTCAGAGACAGTGGAAAGGCAGCTTCAGAAATTCCTCCGACCGTTCGATTGCCAGTCGGGAGAGGTTAATCGTTTATTGTTTCACCCTGTACACTGCACAACAAACGACGCATGACGAAGCTGGAATTCGGCCCGATTCAAAAAAGAGTCGCACAAGTCAGAATTTGCCTCAAAATCTGTCAAAAATCGCACAGTGTTTGTGCAATTTTGAGCCGATTTTTGAGTTGTACGTCTCTGTTTGGACAGAAGTGATGGAGGCTACACCGTTCCGGGTTCGGAGCGTCCCACGTGTTAAAATTACAACAATATGGCCAGATAGGATACTGTCAGTGGTGCTCACAGGCTGGATGGACAGCCCAAACCTCATTAAGTCATTTTTAGCTGACGGAGCATATGAAGGGGTGATTTTATACCATTTACACCATTTATACCATTAAACAGTCTTTCCTTCATCCATGTAGATTCAGAAATGGTTGTGTTTTAGGCTTTCAGCTGTGTTAAATATTAACATTTCAGATAAACAAATCATTAACAAACTAAATTCCACAGGTATTGTTTTTTAGGGTATGTATGTTATGGTTCAGTACAGAGTCTTACAGTTGGAGTAACACACTTATAAATAAGACCAGGGCTGCTGCTGATTTTTTTTGGTTTGTTTGTTTAACGTGAGAATTGTGCTAATCCTTTTAAACTGGTTAACTGCTTTCACATCATTGCTGTAATATCCAGCCGTACCTGTTTTCACCCTGTATATCTTCCGTCCGTTTACCAAGCCACTCCTTCCCTCCACGTCAACATTATTCATTTCCTACACAAAGTGTTGCTGTGGCATCAGTGTATCCTGTCATAGCTGGAGAAGCTGGTAAGTGTCTGGTGTCTTGGGTCTAACTAAATAGTCGTGTCTTAGGTAGGACAAGAGTGATCTAAAACTTGTAATTTTTGTTATTGATGTAAGCATCTAATGCAACCTAATCTTTTTTTTTTATCATTTAAGTGTAGAAATATTAGTTATTTGATAATCTACTTGATTATATTTCTTGTTTGCAAACTTAAGAAGAGGAGTCATGCTGGAGAGATGAAAATTGTTGTCTGTAAATTTGTAACCTTTGCCCCTGTTTGTCTCAATGAAGGATTGACAGTTAAATTAAATGATAGAGAAACAAGGTCGTTAAACGGGTTTGTCACCAATGCAGAAAGGGGTTAAAATTGGTGACTTTTTTTTTTTTTTTTTTAACTTTC